TGCCATATCCAAAATCGTTCTCGTGAAAACGAGACCACTCCACTTTGAAATAGTCCTCGAGGTTTAATGCGTATCCTGCTGATCCCACTACGATATGTGTGGTGCCCATTCCTTCACTTTGACATGTCTGTTTATAAACTGCACATGTCCTTTCGTAGGTGTGGTAGTGTCCCCAGAAGGCTAAATCCACTTTGTACTTGTGAAAAAGCTCTTCCAAATAGTATTGCATTCCAAGAGATACTATGTAGTTACCTTATAAGAGTGTTTAAAAAAGAAAATAACAATAAACCAAAAGAGAATTAATTGATTTAGTCAACAATCAATTTTCAATATGCAACTGTTGAAGAGCTAACTATAGTGGTAGGGAAGGCTCCCAACTAACCTCTTTTCTGGCAAAAATTACCGTTAGCGAGGGTAGTTCAGTGCTGTGAGAAATTGTAAATGCTGAGACTAGGAATGTGTTCGAATAACTTGAACTACTTGCACAATAAGACATCACGTCTTTACCACATTCGACGCAAGCATAAGAATGTAAAATGTAAAACTAAAAATGTTATAGAAGCTTTAATAATTTAAAAAAACTTCTAGAACATTTTCATTTTTACAGTTTACATTTTTTTAAACGTGCGTCGAATGTGGTAAAGACGTGATGTCTTATTTTGCAAGTAGTTCAAGCCAAATAAGTTCTGTTATCACATAACACTCCACCCTTATTACCTTCACACTTCCACTACCTTAGTCTCTCCACCACCTACGCAATTCAATGGTTTCCATCCACCATCATCACCACCACATTTTTGTTATTTCCCGCCACTAACACATTTTTCCACCACCACCAAATTTGATCATTATACGCTTCTGGGAAACTGCGCACCTACCCCTCCCCTAAGCCAACATCAATACTTACTTATCACTTAGGGCAAAATGTTGGCTTAGGGGAGGGGTAGGTGGGTTAGTTTCCCAGAAAAGTATAATGATCCCAAATTTCTACCACTCACTTCACGTATTTTATTGTCCCCCCCCCTCCCGCAACTGTTTCACCACCACCACAATTCTACTTGTTGCTTTTCACCGTCACTCGTTAACACGAGCTGAAAGAGCATATTAAAATTAGGTATCCTGTAAATTTTCAGCCGTTGATCTCAAAAGTAGAGATTGCAGCGGCCGCCGATAATAAGAAGGATTTGTACGAGAAAAACAACTCTTCAACCTTTACGTGCTTCGTAAAGTAAGAGGTCAAACCAGAAAATGATGGAGGAGGAGGGGAGAGAAAGAAGCCAGGGTGGTTTTTCGGTCTGTCTTCTTTCCCTCGCCCACTCCTTCAGGGAACTTCCTGGTTTTCTTGTTTGATCTCGTTTCTGCTTTACCCGGCAGTATGCATTACTTCACTAATCACTAACGAAACATACACCTAAAAAAACGGCAGAAAAGCAGGCTTAGCGACCTTCTTAGTCATAACCGGTCATTACCCAGTAATTCCTGACTGGAATACATCGGCCGGTGTCCGCCGAGCACAACCCAAGGCGTTTTCTTCCGATCGACATTTTTCAAGTCATTTTCTAGCCACTTGTATTGCCTCGAACCCTCTCTGAAATCATGCTCTGTACTCATCATAATAAAGTGCACCATTCCATAATCGTAACTGTACCTAAAAAATATCTTATGGTTAGTATCGTATGGCTGAAGATCCGATAATTGTTGTAGCCGGTAACATTAAAGGTAACCCTTTGAAGATCTAAAGGCCACCAATCATGATAATAGGCTTTAAGCAGTCCGGGAAACAGTGCTCTTAACGTGCTTTGATAAAGTCAACCTAACAACTCCTCCAAGGATAGTAATCCATCCAAGCGGTAAGGGAATTCTTCGTGAGTTAATTAAAACTTCTTAATTAAAACTCTCTAGTCCATGGCCAGTACTATTTTCGAGAAATAATATTCAAAAGACATTTAATTTCAATTCGCTATTTAAGCGGAGGAAAAATATGTATATGAATACGTTTGGAAATGGAATATGATCATGAAAATAAAGGGGAGCAGTGTTCTTGTTGATTTGATAGAATAAAAAAAAACTTTCACATCAATAACGAAATCAAAAACGAAACTGGGACCCTTGACTTTATTCTGCCTAATTGATTTTGTGATCACAGTAGTCCGAAATGTCACATGTCTCAACCCCCTAACCCGTTGAGGGCGCAGAGGAGAAAGACTAGGTGACGTCACCGAACGCCAATATAACGCTCGGAATTCAGACGTCTCTCTCCCCCGCGCGCCCCATGGTTTGGGGGGTGGAGACGTATGACTTTTCAGACTTTGGTCTCAGCTTCTATTCGGCCATTTGATTGAGGGGAGAGAGGTCAAATTCTGATAAAGTTGAGTCATTTTGTTTCCTCGAGTTCTTAAATTTTAATCGTTGAAATATAATTTAGCATATACACACTCAGTGATCTTCGTAATTCAAGCAATCTGATTGGTTAGCTATCTCGGACTATGACGTTATATTCACCGCGCTAGGCGGTGAATATAAAGCAGAACAAAATCGCTGTCGTAAACTGGGTGTTTTGCCAAAGTTTCATAAAGCCTTTTTGAAAATACACCAATATCCAAGTGCTGATGACTTTGAAGGCAAGAAAAGACTTCATGGTGTTTAAGCAGCGTGATTTATTGTGAAGTTGTTTACTTTAGCTGACTTTTTGTACGCTTAAAGCTATGTTTACCACTACAGAGCAAAACGAGGTCGCTTTGTCACTGTTTTGTGATTTCGGGATTTTCTCGCAAGACCAATTTTGCCTATAAATAGAAGTCAATTTAAGGAGAAAAGAGGAAGGCAAATATTTTCGAAAATTGTACGTGCTAGCAAGTTAACAAGGCAAAGAACTTTGGAGATAAACAACGCTCACCTTGATCGTAGCCGCTGTTGACAGCATTTGCAAGAAGCGACAAAGAAAACTTTCTCATTCACGGTGAGTTGACAGAAACAAATAAAGCTCTACTTTTCTTCTCAGAATTGGGTAGTAATTTAAATTTTCGGCGTTTTCTTTTAAACCGTTGATGCTAAAGCTTACAAAACTCGATACAAAAAGATTAAAACTATCATTTGCCATGTTTGAAGATACTGTAAAGATCTAACATTTGCGCATCCACTGTTTACGGCTTCGTGTTCACGCATGAATTCACCCGTCAATCAAACTAATCGTCTGTTAATGGTTTCCTTTCTGATTCTGTTGAGATCACTTCGTGTGAATATACTAAAACAATTTTTCACCTCAGGCTCAGTTAATATTGTTGAATAATCCCCTCGACTTCGTCTCGGGGATTATTCAACAATATTAACTTCACCTTCGGCGAATAATTGTTAAATACAAAGACTACCTGTTTCCACTCTAATGTAAATATGTTTAACAACCTCACCACCACAGAGCATTTCCATTGTCAGGCATGTGGAATCGATAGTACATGGGTACCCCACACTCTCCCCCTGAGTCATCACCAAAGTTGCCCCACCAGGGATGCCAGCCCTCACCTGGGGCGCCACTGGGGTCCTTGGAGCCTCCTGAACTATGGTCTTGCTCGTGATTGCCTATGCCCACCATATATGGCATTATTGTTGCGTAAGGCTCGATGAGTGCGTGCCACTGTTCCCAGATGTAACCCTGTACACAGAGACACAGGTAATATGAAAGCAAAACCAAATCTGCCCTAAAATGCAATGGGGACAAGTAATAGAGAACTTTAAATTTTAAGACGAGGGCGACTACAAGGATGGGATTTTCTCAATCACGCTAAGTAGTGCGCGCGCGTGAGCCAGCATCATTTTGGCGGGAAAACGTGATAGCTGTCGTTATTCTACTATTAGACTCTTTATAAAGCTACACGTATACGGCGAACGGCAGATTTAAAGGAGCTGTGTCACGAAATTCAGCCAAATTAGGTAATTACAAAATGTCAGTTAAGTTAAGGGAAACGTAAAAATAACCGCTTAAAACAGTAAAGGAAGGTTAAAATAACAGAACAGAAACAACAGATGCCACGGATGGGCGAAACTGAAGAAGATTGAAACGGACTGAAATTAGGGTTTTTGAAAACTGTTCACCTGCTGCTTGCAACTTCAAAAACGTAAACGTGATGCTTAACCTCTCTATTAAGGATTTAGTAGCGGAAAAGAGTTATCAAATGTTAGAATTCTTATCATTTTGTAATCGAGAGAGGGTTTAACATCCTTTATTATATAGACACGAGTGTTTTACCGGAAAATATACCACTCGTAAAATTCATAAAAACTACATCCGGGACCCCAGTGGTTTATTTTCCATAATCTCACACGTGAGTTTATCGATAACGTAATTTCGGTAATTTTCCTTCGAAATTTGTAGGCGTCTTGCGTCTTTTGAATTTTACTTACACATTTTTCAAAGTTTTGCTTATATTTCTTCATCGTAGAGCCCTATTCAGCTCAGTGTTATTTCTCAAGATCATTGTAACCAATGTCTTCTATTGCTGTACTGTAAATCTGAGCCGTCACAATTACTTTAATTTTTGGCGAATAAAAATCTACTATTTTATCGATGTCTTTCTGTCTATGTAATAAAAAGAACATTACACGGCGGCTTGAAGATATGAATTTTATTTTTGAGTGGCAAAAACAATATTTTACTCACTCGCTGCGCTCGTTCGTAAATTATTGTTTTGCCCCTCGCAAATAAAATTCATATCTTCGCGCCACCGTGTAATATCCTCTATTTAATAAAAATAACCGCGTTAACGTTTCTGGAAAAAAAAGTAAATTGCAGCTTTCCGGGATGCCTTTTTTGAGAAGACACGCAAAAAAAGACTTAAATTCAAATCTAGTCGTCGTAATCGACCACGTAATCAGTTCTAAAGGTCTCTATCATGACTGTCACCAAGATACAGAGATGAAAACAAAAACTGTTGAACTGTTGAAGTAGTCTCTACAGATCCTGTTTATTATGCGAAAGGTACCGGCCAGGTCTTGGATCGGTTTCTTTCGCTGTCACTCGGGGTTCGTACAGGTCATGGAAAACCTGGAAGTCAAGAAATTTACGAATTTCACTTTCCAGGCCTGGAAAGTTATGGAATTTTTAAAATTGTTGGTACTGGAAAGTCATGGAAAATTTCAAAAATATTTCGCGTCGATTAGTTACTGCGAATGTCAAAGCAAGAACAACAACGTAGGATAGAGGAGAGTAATTAAACAGCGCGAATGACACGCATTTTGGTAGACACTGGAGTTTGTGTCTTTTCAACTGAATTACCCTAAAACAAGGATAGTTTTGAAAATTTTCGAAAGTAACAGCTAAACCTAAGGTCATAAAAAACTGGAAAATGTCATGGAAAAAGCTCTGGAAAGTCATGAAGTTTGAAGAGTAAAAGGAATAAGAACCCTGTTACTTTATGGTCTCTGCAATAAGTTCTGCGCTTTTTGGTATGAATTGTACACAGAAAGGAACTGTATTCTTCCCACCTTGTAATTAACGCAAATGTACCAAGATAAAATAGCAATTACTAGGTTGTTTAAGGGACGGATCATTAGAAAACTTATGGGGGGGCGAAGTACAAAAAAAAAATTCGCGCAAGGGAAAATTTAATTCAAAAAAATTCTTGCACGCCAATTAACCCTAAGAAATATTCATGCAAGGGCCTGAAAAAAAAATTCATACAAGGAATTTGATAACGAAAAAAATTCCTGTGGCTCGAAAATTCCCCCCCCCCCCCCCCCAAACTTTTCTAATGTTCCGTCCCTAAGCAGGACGTTTTTGAGCGACGCAAGTCAACCGGAACTGAGCCTTTTTCTCTTTTAATAGCCTTGACGCTACCAAATTTGTATTGCTAAGTGTCTTAATTCTTAAAGAGACAGTTTTTACGAGAATTTACTCAAAATCAGGCCGAAGAGTGCAAAAAGTCCACTTCCGGTCGCTGCTTAAACTCCCGGCTGCAGTGTTCTACTTACAAATCCAACTGCGTATGAGATATCTCCAATATGAAAAACAAATGAGCGGCCCTTATCGGCTTCTTCAATCATGTACTTTGCTGTATCATGCGCTCCGGGGACATCGGTTATCCCCATATCACCGTAGACTACAAAACTGAATGATTCATCCGAGCCTGTGATTGGTTGAGTTCGAAATTTGCGCACCTCGCTCATAATCTGAATAAAAAAAAACAAAAGGGAAGGAAAAGAAACATTGTATTTCATGTAACTTACATAAGTCGTAGTACACTCTTTTTTTATATAAGAATGTTGTTTTTCCGGTCCAGGCTGAATATTCTTATTTTTCTGCCGATTTTAGGCTGAAAATATTCTTGTATTATTCTTAAATTATAGCTTATGACATTTCCGTTTTAGAATTTATTGGGGTATATGTATATGCATTACATGTACCGTTTATCGAACTGTCATTAGCGTTGAACATTTTGCTATAGCTAATGCAGGTTTTTTCGTTTTGTTGGCTAGTTTTGCCGTTTAGAGAAAGGAATAATTTTATACGGTTAAGTTAAAAACATAAAATTGTATTGTATTTACAGATGTTTCAACACACAAAATTATATCTATCCTTTTCAAAATCTCAGCCTCGGCTTTATTCTTAAAATATTCTTAAAATTTCGCAAATTTCAGCCTCGATATTCTTATAAAATATATTCTTATTAAAAAAAAGAGTGTACTAAGGTCTGGCGTAGCGTGGTAAAATTAACTCGAGCAAAAATGGTCCTCTATGAGATAGGGGTCTTAGAATTCCGGCGGCATAGACCTAGATTTGTAAACAGTACTACGCCAGGAAACTACTCATAAAATCACCTAAAAATGGATGAATTAACAGTCCTCAATTTATTGCATTTAAAACAGGGACTTGCAACCAACAACGAACCTTAAAAGATCCGTAGGAGTAAAAATAATCTGAAGATGAAGTGAGATTTGTTAGAAGAACATCGTGAATATAGCCAGGATTTCTAAAGAAGCCAGTGAAGGATGCTGGCGGTCCACACATATCAGTCTTGGTGTAGGTCTTTGAGATTCCCTTCAGGGGCACCCAACGGCAATTTTCGGGAAAATATCTGTTCGGAAGACGATTTGGTCTTTGATTTTCGAACATCTACAAAATGGTATAATTACCCATTTTTAAGGGATTTTGACCCCTAAAAAGGCCACCTAGAATTTTCGGAAGCCTTTTCCTGGCTGAAGTTTTCGGGAAGGTAAGTTTTTTGGAAATCCGAACAGATGAAAAGTTTTTAGGGAATAAAAATATGCCTATATCTACTGTTTGAATACTAAACTACGTTCAACAATGCTATGTTAAGTGGTTTTGAACTATATCCTCGTTGGGTGCCCCTGTCCCTTGGCTGTGAGAGGAAAGGACGGGTCTTTTCCATAACGCACAACTGGAGTGTCATCTAAAGTAAGGGATAAAGACTATTTAGAAAACGAAAATCGTAGCCTGCGTAGCTGGCGTAGCGGTTTTTGCGCGTGTGAGAGTTTTGGCGGGAAGCCCAACAAACCTTTCCATGTCTGATCACCTGATGGTCAGGAGAGAGTTAGGGCTAGAAAGGTCCGGGATATTTTTTAACTAAAGGGCAATCGAACCCTGTCATCGCGTGTCAACTACGCACAGGCTGTAACTCGAGAATAAAGGGTTAAATTAACTGCAAAAACTCGAGACAACTTTAATCAACCGAGAAGTTGAAAAAATCATGCTAACAGAAGAAAAACAACAATTTTGCTCCCAATCAACCGACACAGCCGTCAGGAGACAAGAAATGCTGACTGTGGAGGACGTGGAGTAACTGATTGTACCTCAATAAAACCTCTTGACTTAGGGGCTTTGGGCCCCACCTAATCCTCTTGAACAGATTACGCAAGCAAATTGCAAAAGAGTTTCATAATGAAACCAAATGAAGTAAAATGAAGTTCCCTTTCATTTCTGTGTTTAGCTGGCTTACGTAATCTGTACCGGTACGTGTAGAATCTACCGTGCTTTGTTGCGGGTGAGAAGTAGTAAAATTTACACATACATTTCTGGCAGGGGATAAAATATCACACCTGCAGACAACACCTTTTCAATCACCTGATAGTCAGGAGATTGCAGGTCAAAGCCGGCCTGGAATGTTAATTATTAAAAGCCTGACTAAGGGGCCGACCATTTAACTCTTGAGGGGGGGAGTGGGTGATTTTGAAAAAAAATTTCCTGCAAGCGCTTGACGGAAGAAAAAAATTGCACGCAGCGAAAATGTAATAGAAAGCTTATGGGAAAAAAAGGGAAAAAAATATCCTGCCCACCAGATTGATAGAAAAAAAAATTCTTGATGACCAGAAATCACCCCCCCGGCAAGAGTTAAATGGTCGGCTCCTAAGCAAAAAAAATTACTTGACCTACTAGAGACAAAAGCAAATGTAACAACCCAAATACGAACCTGTTCCAGACACCCACATAACTCTCATTTGTGTTGGGTCGCCTGTAAGAGCAATGTGTCCTTGTAAAGGGGCGTCAACGCCTCCCTTAAACTTCAGCAGGTTGCTCGTTGCAGCATGGATGTAGTTCTTCTGATAGTATCGAAACTCACAGCTCGACCTCATGTTGTAAACATTGACCTCATTCCATCCGTACCCAGAGGCATAATCCGCCGACGCAGTGACATAGAAATAGTCCAAATACTGGCTTGCTTCAGCGTCGTTTGGGCAGTAAAACGCAATTAAGTCGCTTTTGTCTGGCTGAGGTATTCCACTCCATGAAATGGTCACCGCTGCACCGTTCTCCACCACGTCCCGACTAACTTTCAGCGTGGCAGCCGCCGCAAATTTCTTGACAATGGGACGCGTAAAGTTGATGTGATTCAGTTGATCTCGGACATCCAGAATAAGTCCTTCAGAATTGATCCTTTTGAAAAATGTAGGAATTGGATGGCCTTTCTTTGATTCTGTGACAAAAATGCCAAAAAGCAAATAAAAGCCCACGACAGCCCACCACGGTGCCATGTTTTTTCTAATGACCTGGAGCGTTTGCGTGACCTTTTTCTACCAATCTCGGGTTGATCTAAGAACTATCACGCAACGAAAAAGTGTAGACCACCTGCCCTTCCGTCTGGTTTTATCAACCATACTTTATCTCTAACAACTTAACGGCTCTCAGCTTGGTCGAGTACTTCTAAGCAAGGCCAACCGCATTACGCTCACGTAGAAGTAGTAAAGGACTGATTTTTCTCACTAAGACTGTCATACCACCCATAGCAGCATTAAAAAGAGGCTCACAGTACCCTTATCAAGAACGGTCCCCCCAAAACGATCGCCACAATCTTTGATAAAATAAAGTAGTTTGACTGTTATTAGAGAGATTTAGCTTCACGTATACGGCAAAAGGCAATCGTCAGATTCAAGTTGAGAATTTCTTAAAATAGAAAATGAGCAGACAAAAATAGGTCAAAACAATTGCTTGAAACTACTAATTTATGTGTGGACTAATGAACAGTAAACGACAAGTAAAGGGGAAGCTAGGTCACGTGGTACAAATTCGCGTTTGCAGTTTGACGTAAACGTGATGCTTAACCTCTCTATTATAACAAAAATTTGAAGTGTATCACTACTTTGATATTATGGTAAGGAACCTTAGTGGACACCTATCTAAAGTAACAGTGGTAGGGTTAATGGCCACCTGAAGCACTCCCAACCTCTGAACAAAAGTCAAGGGCGTCGTGGGGAGAAAAGGGCCGGGAACTCAAACGCGTCCCCTGCAAATCTGCACAGATTCTGATACAGTTATACAGTCGGTCCTCCCGTAAGAGATTACCCAAATACTACAATTCAGTGGTCGCTTAAGGCAGGTAGTCGTTAACGATAATTGAGCCACAAAGGGTAATTTCCAAGAAGAGATTTAGACACATCTATTTTTTGGAAGAGCATTTATTGCATGTATGTATACGATATGTGTAGTTCCACTATGTATTTGATACTCTGAGCAGGCTAGGGTAGTGCACTCGAGTAAATCAAAGAGATCAGACCATTCGACAAGGTAGCCTGTACCAGGCGCTCAGGCTTAGGTGAAAGGCCCGAGAAAATATGAGCGCGTGATCTGGGAAAAGGGAGTTGGTGCGGACAGGAAAAAGCTAAAGCCGCCCTTCCTCTCCCCAGTCTCCTTCCGTTTTATTTTTCATGTTCGCGCTTTCTCAGTTTTAAGGACCCGACCATCTCGGAGCCGGGAACAGATCAGCGACAAAGTGGTCGCTTACAAGAGGTTAAAGGCAATGGAAAAGTTTAAGACCATCACCACAAGTGTTGGGGGTCGCTTACGATACGTAGCGCGGGTAATCGTTTACGAGAATTAGCAGTTCATATACTCACACAACAAAACGACATTCAGCTATCAAGATTGAAAATTGTCTTTTTATTCACTTGGGCGCCACCTAGAGAGGCAACTTACAACTCTAACCAAATAAGTCTAGAATGCATTTTACCATGTATAAATGTCGCTCATCTTTAATCAGTGATTGATATTTCAGTAAAGCCGTTACCATAATAGCTATTCAAAATCTTGGATAAATTCTTTGTGTATACTAACACTTTCATCGTTTGAGATCATCGTTTCTCTTCTTCTACTTCTTTCTACGAATCTGATTTTATCAACCAAACTTTATCCCTAACGACCTTATCCTTATTTCGAACCCACTCGTAATAAAGTGCTGACCTATTTGCTACCAGTACTCTGCCATATCCATAATCGTTCTCGTGAAAGCGAGACCACTCCACTTTGTAATAGTCCTCTTGGTCCAGTGCAAATCCTGCCGATCCCACTACGATGTGTGTGGTGCCCATTCCTTCACTTTGACATGTCTGCTTATAAACTGCACATGTCCTTTCGTAGCTGTGGTAGTGTCCCCAAAAGGCTAAATCTACTTTGTACTTGTGAAAAAGCTCCTCCAAATAGTACTGCATGCCTATGGACACGATGTAATCACCTAAACAGGGAGTAAAATAAGTTTACAAGTTAATCTTTTCGCTCCCCTGAGTGTCCAGAATTTAAAAAGCATCCATATCATTTCCAATATAAGATAAATTAAAGAAACAAGGGCCACCAAGTACAGCTCAATAAACAGCACCACAGAACAGTACGTTAGTTTGCATAACTTAGAAACACAGTACTCATTAAAGGGCCTGTGTCACGGCAGTCCAGTTCATTTTGTTTAATTTTGCGAATTACTCGCCCTCAATCGCTATGGAACTTAAAGTAAGCAAAGAAATTACACGTAGATGACAAAATCAGAGATCCGAGGCACACAAATATGTCTCCTGAGCATTATTTTTGAAGTTGCAAGCATTAGGGATCAACTTTGAAAAACTGTTAGGCTGAACAGTTTTCATTCAAAAATCCTAATTTCAATCCGTTTCAATCTTCTTCAGTTTTGCCCATCCGTGGCATCTGTTGTTTCTGTTATGTTATTTTAACCTTCCTTTTAAGTTTTAAGCGGTTATTTTTATGTTTCTCTTAATTTAACAGGCATTTTGTAATTTTCTAATTTGGCTGAATTTCGTGACACAGCTCCTTTAATGGCAGGAGCCCATCAGGGCAACGGGTTACATTCGAAAACGACGGGAAAGGCTTTAACTTTGTCCACGCACACTGCTAAAGAATCTTTCGGCACCAGATTGGCTTGATATACCAGCTACGTAGCCAACTGCCTCCTCCGTGGGCTTTTCTTAGGCCAAGAGCCATAATGGCTCCTTCTTAGGCTCAGCAGGGAGACGAGCTGGGAACGAGCGCGAAGCGCGAGTGGGGGATCATTGGAGCGAACCACAGAGCAGTAGCAAGCAGAGATGGGAGAGTCGTTCCGTCTAATCTCCCCCCCACCTCCTCGTATCTTCCTTGGCGCCTACTCTCGATCTCGTCTATAATGATAATAGACCTTTTTAACTTGATATGTTTTGCTTTCCAAGTGAAAGTCTTAAGACAATTTGCGCCTTTCGGCTTACTTTTCATAAATTATGCGCATACACGTACGTCAATAAGAAAAAAATGTCATTTTAAAGAAACAACAGTTCTCTAGAATATCATCAAGGGACCTACCTCGGAAAAACAAAACATAAGTTTAAGGGTACGGAAAAACGGATAACAGAAACGTGCAACTTGTTTCAGTGCGACATAGCTGGAAAACGAATTGAATAGCGATATTGCGCGTTTTACCACCCACGTTCAACCTGCCTTGCAACAAATCAGGTCATTGCAGGTTGCGAAAAATTGTTGCAGAAAGAAGAGAGTAGTTCTTCTTTTCGCGGCAAAATCTGTACGTGTGCTACACGTTATACTAGCCCATGGGGCAAACTTATTTTGAAGCAAGTGACGTAAATCCATTTATGGCGTGACTCCCGCGTAATTTTATCCAGTCAGGAGTCGGTATTCACGCAACTTGCATCCACCTGTTTAGCCTGCGTTGTAGCCAGCCCACGTATCGCGTAAACCATTGGTATAGGCTATAAACAGAAGGTTAAGAATGTCTGCGACGCAGGCTATAACCTTGTTTGTTGCTAGACAGGTTTAAACGTGGTTGGTAAAAAGGCGCGCAACATAGCTTTTCAACCGCTTTGCAGAAATGTTGAAAAACAAGTTGTATGTTTTGCGGCCTGTTTTACCGTAGCTTAAGAGGTTTAGTAAATAAAATATCTTTAGATACGCGATCGTGAGGGACTGGGGACGAGCCAGCGTAAAAGCAGGATTCGCCAGTACCAAGATGACTAGACTGACCTCGTCATATCGACAGACGTACCACGAAAGAACATTTGTCCACAAGCTAATCGTGTTTTATAGCCAAAAAGACATAAGCCAAATAAATGTTGAATTAAGAACTCTTGCGCGCCATTTAAAAGTATTTAAGTTGTCTTAAAAGTTGGTGATAACTAATCTCTCGTTGTAAATTTTAACTATTGTTATTACTTAATACTTCCTGGCTGGTATACATCGGCCGGTGTCCGCCGAGCACAACCCAAGGCGTTTTCTTTCGATCGACATTTTTCAAGTCATTTTCTAGCCACTTGTATTGCCTCGAACCCTCTCTGAAATCATGCTCTGAGCTCATCATAATGAAGTGTACGCTGCCATAATCGTAACTGTACCTAAAAAATACTTGATAGTTAGCAAGATCGTATAGTATTATTACTTCACGGAATACAGTAGTTAACTACAGTTAATATTCGTGTTCTGTGTGAAATTCTGGAAGCTCATTGGCCGAATGCAGGGTGTCCATTCCTGCCTTACATAGCCTGCGAGCAAATTATCCATTGGGAAGAGTCGCGAGAAGTCACGCGAGAGCAGCACGCTAAAGGAGACGCGAGTGTGCGAGGAGCCTGATCGCGCGTTCCCTCACGGCTCGCTTCGCTTACTAGAAATGGAGAGCTTGCTATGCCTTACAACGCCATTTTAATGCGTCAATGACTTCAAACATGCTTCAAACAAGTGAGTCTGCTGATGGCAAAAAATCCTGAGGAGCCATGGTTATAAATTAAAATATATCATAAAAATATAGCGAGTAATCATCCTGTCAGGAGCCCGGTAATCGTTCATTAATGACCAATAACACAAACTCACCACCACACAGCATTTCCATTGTCAGGCATGTGGAATCGATAGTACATGGGTACCCCACACTCTCCCCCTGAGTCATCACCAAAGTTGCCCCACCAGGGGTGCCAGCCCTCACCTGGGGCGCCACTGGGGTCCTTGGAGCCTCCTGAATTATGGTCTTGCTCGTGATTGCCTATGCCCACCATATATGGCATTATTGTTGCGAACGGCTCGATGAGTGCGTGCCATTGATCCCAGATGTAAGCCTAAATGAAAAACAGGAGAGACTTAAAATATGAAAGAAATGAAAGTTAACCTGCTTGTTAATTCAAGGGGTGAATTCGTTGAAATACGACAACAGCGGTTGAAAAGCATTTTCCGCAGGTGATGTTTTTTATGCTAAAATTAGTGCTTGTTTTTACTCTTATAAAATGTGCTAATGAAATCCCAAACTTTCTTTTGGTATAAACGGCAAGCAACAAGATATATTCTTCCGTTTATGTGCCCTGAAATGACTGCAGATCCGCCGTCCTGTCCGTTTTAAGGCGGGTGAACCTAGACAAAAATAATAGCATGTCTAGAGTGTTTAGGGACGGACCATTAGAAAAGTTATGGGGGGGGGGGGGGGGGAATTTTCGAGCCGCAGGAATTTTTTTTCGTTATCAAATTCCTTGTATGAATTTTTTTCAGGCCCTTGCATGAATATTTCTTAGGGTTAATTGGCGTTCAAGAATTTTTTTGAATTAAACCGAAATTTTTTTTGAGCTTCGCCCACCCCCCATAAGTTTTCTAATGGTCCGTCCCTTAGAAGCTTTTTCTTACATATCCTCGTGCGTAAGAGATATCTCCGACATGGAAAACTAATGAGCGGCCTTTCGCGGCTTCTTCAATCATGTACTTTGCAGTATCATGCGAACCGGGGTCAGCGGTCACTCCCATATCACCGTAAACGACAAAACTAAACGATTCATCGGGGCCTGTGATTGGCTGGCTTCGAAACTTGCGCACAGCACTCATCATCTGAGGAACAAATAAGAACATACTGATTAGACCATATGAGCGTTCTGCTCAACAATTTGTCGATTTACACTCAAAACAGTCGAACTAATTCGGTCGATTAAATTTTGACTCACGAACCTTAGAAGATCCGTAGGAGTAAAAATAATCTGAAGACGGAGTGAGATTTGTCAGTAGAACATCGTGAATGTAGCCAGGATTTGAGAAGCCATTTAGCGATGCAGGCGGTCCACACATTTCCGTCTTGGTGTACGTCTTTGAGGTTCCTTTGGCTGTGAGACGCAAAGACGGGTCTTTTCCATAGCTCACAACCGGAATATCATCTAAATTAAGAGAAAGAAAATAATTAGGGAAAGAAACCCGCTAAAGGCATAATCATAAGCTTCGTTACTTGGAAGCCGGTAGGGTAAGCATCAACCAAGGAAAATATTCGGGGTTTAGTAGTTACCCAGTAACTATACAGAGGAGTATTTACCAACGACTTATGTCACAAATCAAACGAGTGGCGCAACGTTGGCGCAACGAACAACAACAACAACAATACCTTTATTCGCCTTGTACTTAATTATATACATTAAAGAGAGAAAAAATATATATTTATTTATTTGTACTTAATAAGGCCTGGAGCTGAAATAATCCTAAGATTTTCTAGCCAGTTCTCCAGAATTTAAAGTTTTAGAGAATTGAGATAGAATTTATTTCCAAAGAAGCAGTTTTAAAATACAATGTATTAAGATAAGAAAGAAAGAGTATATCCTTAAGTTATGTTAACTATGTTGTTCTGACAACAAATATGGTTTCAAATGTTTTTGGAATTGGTACGTGTTTAGTTCCTTAAGAGTTAAGGGAATTTTGTCCCAGACGGTACATGCAGCATATCCGATTGTTTGTTTCCCCGTATTAGTTCGCACTTTTTTTACGGACATTACACTTTTTTTGTGGACATTATTGGCATATTGAAAATAGTTTGAGAACAGCTTTGGAAGGAGGCCTTTATGCCAGAGGTACGTGAATTTTAGAATCTGAAATCGATAAACATTATGTACCGTAAGAACGTCTAATAAATTTAGCAGAAAGAATCAGAGTACGTACGTAGATACCAGGCCACTACTTTTATATGCCCTCGCACATACCGTACAAAGGACTTTCCATAAAGTACTGTTTTACAACCAAGAGAGCGTGATGGGCTTTGTCATGACAACGTCCTCTTCTGTGACACTGTCTATTTCACTGCATTTTCCGATCTACAAGGAAAATCCTTTTTTCTTTTATCTCAGTGTGTGTGACTGATAAAATAAGGAAAGGCGACGAAAATACCGAAAGGAGGGGAAATGGACAACGAAGTCATGCATTAAGAAAACAGTGTTAGTGCCTTCTGATTAGACGAAACTACTATTTTTCACGTGAAAAAGTATTGTTCGCGCTTTTGAGTGGTTAAGACACGTCTGTCTTAAAATGCCTTTTCAATGAGTACTTGCGAGGTTTTCTTTCTTTTCTCTCCTCCAACGAAGTTCAGAAAAGAGATCCACAAGGCCTCGTTTGAGAAGAAAGAATAAAGCTTTGGCAGAAAAAGCCCATCTTACTTAACTAATTAAGCCGCTTCTGGACTCCATAAATCCCAAACATGTCTTTGCAATTTGTAGCCTATACACAGGCTATGCAATTTGCCTTAAGGCTTGCTTTCGTTTCTCTTGTAAATGCGCAACTTTTCGTTTAATTAGGTTCGAATATCAATTCATGGATTCAGCAAGATGTCAGTTTTAATGATTTTTTGTTCGAGATCGTGCGCTTTGGTGGATAAACAATTTCTGTAACACGTGACAACTTACAACCATGAAGAGAAACAAAATGTCACGCTAACGACAACGAAAAAACATCACCCCATCCGATAACCTGATAGTCTAGTCACGAGACAAGAAAACGGCGAGGAAATTTTCGCAACTTGATCTACCGGTTTTGTCAGAGGTTGCATAATTAAAGTGGAAACAATTTTGTACCGTTGAAAACCTTACCTGTTCCAGACAGCCACATAACTCTCATTTGTGTTGGATCGCCTGTGAGAGCAATGTGTCCTTGCAAAGGGGCGTAAACGCCTCCCTTAAATTTCAGCAGGTTGCTCGTCGCAACATGAATATAGTTCTTCTGATAGTATCGGAACTCACAGCTCGTCCTCATGTTGTAAACATTAACCTGATTCCATCCGTACCCAGATGTATAATTCGATGAGACAGTGACATAGAAATAGTCCAAATACCGGCTTGCTTCAACATCAATTGGGCAGTAAAACGCGATGAAGTCGCTTTTTTCCGGCTGAGATATTCCACTCCACGAAACATTCACCAACTCCCCGTTTTCCACCAGTTCCGGACTGACTTTCAAAGTGGCCGCGGGAGCAAATCTGGTGACGATAGGGTGAGTAAAATTGATGTGATTCCTCAAGTCTCGCACATCCAAAATAACGCCTTCAGAGTTACTTCGTCTGAAATATGTAAGAACTGGATGGCCTTTCTTTGCTTCTGAGCTAAATAAGCCAAGAAGCAAACACGAAACCACAACAGCCCACCAAGATGCCATGTTTCCCTACGACTATCAGCAGAATTTGCGCACTTTAACCATTGTGTAACCTGACACATGGCCACAATGTGACTCTTTTTTCCCCTCACATAACGTCACTAAAATTCAAACTAAAAAACTATCGATCCTACCGAGATTTTACTTTCACGATGCATTAGAGCAGCTTAAAACTAATTTTCATACAAATTTTCGTTTCAAAAGCATAGTTAATTGAGTGGAATGGTTATGAAACCCGTCAGACTCCTTTGTTATATGTTTTTGTGGACCTGAAAGTGCACATCGTTCAAAAGAATTCCTATCATTTTGATTGTATTGACCAATAAAAACGTTGCATTAATTTATTCCGTAACAATTTGCCAACAGAAAACAAAGGATTGTGCACTTTCACGGTGCTTTGAACATAAACTGCAGCACTGTTGCTTTTATCATTGATGTTTGCCGCTTTTCATAACCAGTCTCCTCTAATAACTATGTCAAAAGGGTACAGTTCTTGGTTTTGTGATAGAGTACACTTGAATTTCTAAGCTTTTGCGTGAGCTGTCATGTAGGTTAAAAAACAATGACTTATTTCAGGATAGTTTGTTATCTAAACAGTTCCTGTATTAGAAAAAGTATTACTTTAATGTTTATAAGTTTCTCGAAGAATAAATTCACGCTTTTGTAGAAAAACTTTTAGAGCGAAAATTTGTTTGAAAATTAGTTTTCAGCTGCTCTAATACACCATGAATGCGAAATCTCGGTAGGATCGATAGTTTTGTAGTGAAGTCATGTGAAAACCAACAACAATAACAATCCATTGTTTTTATTGTCACTTTTTCAAATCTTATTTGTAACGAACTTTTAGTTTTATTTCCATATTTTTCTTTTAGCCCTTGAAGTAGGGTTGTTTTCAAACCGAAATATTGGTCAATTTGTTTAAATTTATATTGTTTTGTTTTATTCTTTTGTTTACTTGTTCATCGCCTTGCCGTAAGGATCAGTTTGCCCTTTCATATTCATCTACAGGTGTCGATGAGACAGGAGTGGAATCCAAGGAAGGTGAGGGTACTCCAGATTCAAAGTGACGGAGATGATCGAAGGATTTTTTTGGTAGGAAAATTTGGCAGGTATTTTTTAGCGATTTTTCGGTTAAGATTCATATAGTGCCCCACGCCCGTATCGCAGCCGCGTCCAACACAGGGGAGGATACTCTCAATAATGGCGTATACAGCTAGGGAGGCTCCGCCCGAAGGAGTACCTTTTTCAGGCTTCGGGTACCATAAAATTCCGAAAATAAGCCCCTCCATGTGTAAGCCCCTCAAACCGGTAACGCAAAAAACCCTCCGTTAAGGGACTGTGCAATAATTATCAGGAGGGGGCTGAAAAACTAGAAGGGGGGCATTACATAAAGTTGCTGCCAAGATAGGGGGGCTCAAAGTAAACTCAGTCATTTGACGGAGGGGGGGCCTTAAGGTTTATTCGAAATGTGAATAAAATTAAACGCAATAAAAGATTCTCAATACAGGCATCATGATAGACTGTAACAAACATCAATACGGACAGCTGTTAAACGATTATTGAAAATATTCTATCGAAATGAAAAGCAAATTCAGAACTGATCAATTTTAACCTGTCTTCTAATTAATTGAGCTGATCCTATGTAAAGCAAAAATAACATATAACTTTACAGCGCTCTATTAATTTTAATGTCAATAATTTTATATCAATACTAAAACCATAAACTAGTGCATGTCGTCGCGGCCTGAAATCTTAATTAGAATCCTAGCGCTATTACAAAGGAAGACTTTAATTGAAACAAAAAATCGCACTTTAAAATGGCACTATTGGACTCTGCGATCAATAAAAAATGTTGCACTGTTGAGGGAGGACGGGGCATTTGCCCTCTTTTTTCTTCCCCACCCCGGGGGAATTGCCAGCTCAAGGGTCCCCACCCCCGGGAATTTGCCATCCAAGGCAAAAAAAATGCTAATTCCCTGGGGTCAGCCCGGGGGGGGGGTGGGCCTGGGCGCAGGTGGAATTGACTGATGCATTACGGCAGCTGAAAGGGATGTAAATTTCTCAACTAGTTATGCTTAAGGGGTACCATTTTTAACTAGAAGGCATACGAAAGGGATACCTTTTCGGCCAGGAGGCGGTGCCTCCACGTATCGAAACCTTGCTGCCCAACCTTTTGAAATGCGGTGGTTTGTGTAATATTCAACGTATTTTGCTGTGTATCCGAGAAGGCTTCAATTCAGATGATGAATAAACACAAACATTCAATTTCTACAAGTTCTTTTTGTAATTAATATTTCCAATTTTCTTCTTTTTTGGTGCGGAATTATATCCATTTAACCCTTGATGGAAAATTTTTAAGACACGGAAATTAGGATTACGATTTTGTGGGTTAAGTTTTGGCACAATGCTGAGATCTTCCAGGTACTAGTTATGTTCTGCAATCTCAAACTACCGAAAGAAAGAAATGAGTAGCGAAATAAATAAATAAATAAATAAATAACAAGGATCTGCTTTACGTTTTGATTTTTGCTCCAGTTTAAGTTGTTTACCTTGCAGCCGATTTTGTCTCCTCGCGTCCCGTGGCGCTCCTGAGACAAAAGGGAGCTTTAGCATCGACGACGACGACCGCAACGAGGTCGTCAAAATAGTTATACGTTTGTTAAGCAAAACAACAACTCTGCATGTGCAGCACACTGAAAGAAACAACCTTAGCTTCGAAGTACTTTGCTTAGCTTTTGCAAATTCCTCTCGGCCTTTAACCGCGTGAAACGCCATTTATGGGTTGAGTTTGCTGTTGGTACTTCAGTATCCTTGTCCCAAGAGATTTCTTCCTGAGTAGCCCGGTTTTCCCGTTCCCTCTCCTCAAAAACCAACATTTCCAAATCCCAATTCCATCAGGAGACGTTGGCGATTAACCACAATGTAGTTGTGCTACTCTTAACCATAATTTCTTTCTTTACACGTGATTTATTTATTTACTTCACACCAAAATATTTTACAAAACGTCCGTCTAATCCATTCATTTTCTCTAGAAAAATAACAGTTGCTAAAGAACAATCATCGAGAAAAGATTAGACTGAGCACGGGTTTTCCCTTTTCCTGCAGGCAGAGGTCTTTCACGGGAGGAGGAGAAAAAGGAGAGGAAAGAGAGAGACCTCTGCTGCCGACCTCCGACGCTTTCATTTAGCCGACGACTAGAGAACACCAGTTTCGTTTAATGTGGAATGCGCGTGCCCTGTTTAGACAGCACGCTGGGGATTTCTGAGCCCACAGTAGTTATTGCGCAAACCGGTTTTGTAAGTTGTGTCCTACGTGTCTAAAACGTTACTGGTTGTTAAGTAAACGCCGTACACGATAGAAAACGCATCGGGGGCCGGGAGAGGTCTCTCTCTTTCTAATCATTTTTCTTTCGCCGTGAGAGACCTCTGCTAACAGGGAAGCATTTCCTAAGTGGAGAGGGAGGGAGGGGTGGGGGGTGGGAGGGGTGCGAAAATGGGAGAGAGTGATAGAAAGAAAATCCTCACACGAAGGCTTTTATTAAAGCCTATTTAGTCAACCAGACTTGGTCTTTAACGACGCCGCTTGTGTTTTCAACCCACTCCCAATGAAGTGCCGAGCGGTTAGCTTGAGTTAATCTTCCATACCCATAATTATTCTCGTGATATAAAGACCAGCTCATAGGAAAATAATCTTCCAGATCCAAACTCTTGCCAGCTGTGCCCACGACGATGTGCACAGGAGCACCAGGGGTGCACTGGCCCAACCGCACAGGGCATGTACGCTCGTAGCTGTGGTAATGCGCCCAGAAGGCCAAGTCAACTTTGTATTTAAGAAGCAACGACTCGAACGCCTTTTGCATTCCAAGCGAGATGATGTAGTCGCCTGAAATGGGAGGAGAGGAACCTGTTACATACTTGTTACTAACAACCATATAGGTACACCGGACCAATATCAGTCAACCAGTACAAGACACATTTGAAGCAAAGGAGCAGACTTTGTTCCATCGTTAGCCAATCAAAGTAAGAACGTGTACCGAAAGCCCTAACTGAGTCAGGGTTCGTACTCTTTTGAGTTCTTTAGTTTTCCATGACTTTAGGTTTGGCTGTCATTTTCGAAATTTTCAAAACTTTACTTGTTTTAGCATATTTTTTTTACCTTGAACAGTTCAACAGAAACAAACTCTGGTATCCACCAAAATGCGTGCCGTTTGCGCTGTTTAATTACTCCTCTTTATCTTACGTTATCCTTGCTTTGTCACCTGCAGTAACTAATCTACCAAACAAAACTTTAAGGACCTTCCAGGTTTTCCATGACCTATACGAACCCTGAGTCTGTTGCAGGAAAAATAACCAGCGGAGCAGGTGCTTGAACGTAATATGCAAAAAAAAAAGGGACGCCCGACGGAGATACGCGAGTCTTCCTCGCACGCTCTGTTCTTCCTTGCGTCCATTACTTCCAAGAGCCTGCTAAGCTGGCTACCGGAAAATGATGTGTTTTTGATTAATGTTGTAGGTTTGTAGTGAACTGGACCACGACAGAATTCAGAATTTAATAATAATAATAATAATAATAATAATAATAATTTAATAATAATAATAATAATAATAATAATAATAATAATAATAATAATAATAATACAGAGAAGAGATTATCAAGCATTTGTAAATAGGCAGTTTTAATTAAGCACCACGCCCCAAATAAGACCCACTGCTCCAAAAGACAAGAAAGTAAATAAGAGCTTGGTGCTCTTTCAAGTAAATCCTTACTTTCGATCATCTGGCTTGTGTACATTGCTCTGTGACCTGCCATGACCACCCAGGGGGTGAGGGAGCGGTTGACATTCTTCAGGTCTTGTTCCATCCAGTCATACTGTGGAGAGCCTTGAGTAAAGTTATGTTCTGTACTCATCATGATGAAATGCACACTGGCATAATCAAAGCTGTACCTATTGGCATCAAATACATGATAGAGTAAATAAAGCATACAGCCTGCATTACAGAAACCGTTTCTCTTGAATTTTCTCGAAAATTCCTTACATTCACTCTTCAGACCTTTGTTCTCACTCAAATGTGCCCCTCTCCATCCCCAATGTTGAGTGGATTACGCGTATTTTGGAGCACTGAGACGACTGTAATGCCCAAATCAACATTCGGGAAGGGGAAACGCACAAGTGTTTCAAGATTTTTTACGAGTATTGTAGACTGCTAGCACTCCTTCTTCAGTCAGTTATGAAGGCAAGTAGCCTGCATCACAAACATAATCTATCCCCGAATAGTAACGTCTGCAAAGCAGCACTGATATCCCTGTTCTAGGCCCCAGTGGATTCAACGGATTACTGGAAATTTATGCCTTTCAAATTTCCCTTCAACCTGATTGGCACATTGATAATATCTTTTTAACATGCCATTCATGGTGGGTACTCAAATCCTGGTACAAAACAATGTTGGAGGCTCAGAACAAGGATTCTTGGTGCTGTTTCAGAGACCAGAAGTGTAGTTCTTTCGATGGCTTAGGCTAGAAGGCAAGCAGCTGTCACAGTGAGACAGCAGGTAGTGAACAAGCAGAGAAGAAAATGGTCTACACCAGCCTTTTTTCACTTGCCCACCTGAAGAGATACATTATATCCCTTCTTCCTTCTTTAATCACTCAAGCGCGGGACAATCGTGATGGACTGCTATGTTATTTTTTGTACCATTTTGATTCAAATAATATTTGAGTGAAGTGCCCGTTACTAGATAGAGAAGACAAGTGCTCTTTCTTCACCACAAACAAAGAATGTTAAGGAATGGTCTGGATAATGCAGGAGGCAATTTCTTTTGTTATGAGGCAATATGCTTTCCTCAAATAGAAACGTTTTTATTTTTACACAAAGAATATATGAAACTACTGAAAGGCACTTTATGAAATATAATGTATTAAAATCCACTTTGAAAGGGCATTTCCTTGTGTTTAAAGATTTTAACCAATCATAAGAGTTGCAAACAAGAGAGGAGAAAAGTTTATGTTCTATGAAATTCACATAAGATTTCTCTGTTATTTGGAGTCAGACAAGATTTTGTCATAAGGAAGTCGTATGGAAAACTAAGGATTAATCTGGATGTTGCTTTGTGAGGTTTTCAAACAAAATGCTGTTTAAACCAATCAGGAGACTGTGTAGTACAGACAATAGTGAGGTCTTGTCACTCTTACTTTCCTTCTTATCTGGACCATAATTGTTTAACATTAAATTTTAATGATCTTCTCACCACCAAACTGCATTTCCATTGTCAGGCATATGAAAACGGTAATACATCGGTACGCCACACTCTCCACCAGAATCTGTGCCATAACCTGGGGCCCACCAAGGATGGAAGCCTTCTCCTGGGGCCCCACTGGGGTCCTTGGACCCTCCTGACATGTGATCCTGCTCATGGTTCCCTATGCCCACCATATAAGGTAAAATGGTGGCATATGGTTCAATAACTGCATGCCATTGTTCCCAAATGTAGGCCTGCAATGCATACAGAATTATAAGGAGGAAATGACCTCAAAGGGTAAAAGAGACAGTACTCTGTGAAAAAATTAACATTTACTCCACTTATGCACATTTTATATTGCCAATTACTACTAAATATATACCATTAGACTAGATGGAAAGATTCTACCTGAGGAAATATAACAAGTGTTTTAGTGATCAAGTGCAGGATTATAAGCAAGAATCACAGGGGATTACAGTTCATCAAATCAGTTTTAATTACAAGCTATCTAGAAATAAAATTTCCATTCGGATGCATTTTCTAATCAGTTTGGTTGCACTGGTGTTTACTTCTCTCACAACTCTTGGTAGTTTAATTTTCCCTTGCTATTAAATCAACCCTAAAGCAAGCTCCTCTCTATTTCATGAGACCATGAGTATGTTAAATCGGACAGGGCAGTGACTCTGTAATCACTTCATTCTCAGGAGTCCCTCAAGTAACAAAAACCTAACAATAGCATCATGTGAAAGCACTGCCCAAGAAGTCTCATTTGAGAGGTTATGCTATGGGAATACTGTAAAAAGGACCCACCGTCTCAAAGTTAGTCTTGCATCACATGGTACATGTCTTATAATAATTTGACTGTGGAAGTAAAAAGGACTCATGGAGTTCAAACCTTTTTAATAATAATAATAACAACAATGATGATAATAATAATAGCAATAAGAACAACAACAACAAAACAATATTATTAATTTTCCAGGAATCACAACCTTGGGGGATAAAAAAAAACCAGTTAAATTCACTTACATATCCTCGAGCATAAGATATGTCACCATTGTGAAAGACAAATGCTGCATTTCCACTTAGTGCTTCCCTTGTTGCATATTCAGCTGTTTTATAAGCCCGTGGTACAGGTGAAACACCCATATCTCCATATACCAAGGCTGTAAACTTATCCTCTGAGCCTACTGGTGGTGAGGTGTTGAAATGGTGAACAGGACTCATTGACTGAAATGAGAGACATTCATAACTTGATTTTAAGAAACACAAAGGACTTTCTCTTGTTTTGACATGGTTGCCATAGCATTTCCCCGACCAACTGAATTAATAATTTCACAAATTAGTCCTGATAACGAACTCGACCCTCCCCTGACAGCATCCTCTTCATCCACCTGCTATATTCTGCAATTATATACCCATATTATAATATCAATAATTATGAATTATAGCTCTTGGTAATCTTCTCTCTTAAAGTGAATCACAAACTTTGCACTCATAGCTGGTATAATCATATTAAGCTTGGAAATTTACCAAGGCATTAAAATGTACAACCATTACCTTCTATTAGTAGTTTTCATCATAAAAGGTGGCACGAAAAAGTCAGTTGCTTCTCGACACTAGTAGTAGCCTGCCTAGCAGGTAGTTATTTGGCTGGTTGTTTGGTGTATTTTTGGTTTGTGGTTGAGATACAGTGGCGCAAAAGTTCTGAGGTCAAAGATGTGGGAGGGGTCAAGAGGACCTTCTACACAATTATTCATGGGTTACCTACGGGTTTACTTTGATAAATAAGTTATTGAAATAGCCATATATAAGTTCTAAAAACCCTACACGTACCTTTTCTGACCCATAGGAATAATAATATCGTGTTCCCGGCTCTAAGTTTGTTAACAAAACATCATGGATGAAACCAGGATCCACAAACTGTGCACTATTAGCTGGCGCTGCACACATATCATCTGCAGTGTATGTTTTGCTGATGTTTCCTTTGACGACAGACATCACAGATGGGTCTGTGCCATAATGAACAATGGGAGTGTCCTCTGAAAAGAGAAAAAAAGCACAAGAGCAGAATGCAGGGTTAATTTTCTACGGTAAGAAAAATAAAGTTACATTCGTTGGGGTTGTTTGGCAGCTCAGCAATCCCAGCTGAAAAGTTGCCAGGCCAGTGAAACATATACCTTTCTCCTTCTTTAAGCCTCGAACCTCAAATGACAACCCACCAAGCCACTGCGATATATACCTTTCCTTGTTCTTTTACACTTATATGTACCATACTTGCTATCTCAGACTTATCTTCCTCATTTTTTAAACACTTGTTCAGGACTAGTGAGCCAACGAGCCAACTTCTGTTTAGATCTTACTGTATTCTGTAGTTGCTCAACGCAGAAAAAAAAAACCTGATTCTTGGTGGCAAGTTGTTGAATGGAAGATAAAGAAATACATTTCCCAATGGTATGTATAGCCTGCATAACAGGTGCTTTATGAGCCAAGCGAGGCGAATGCGGCATTTTTGCGCAAAGTGCGAAACGAGTGCGAAGAGCGAGACGAGGGGAGGAGAAAAATTTGTGCTTCGCACAAAATGCCACGTTCACCGTACTGGGCTCATAAAGTGCCTATTATGCAGGCTACAGTATGTTTGCACCACTGATTCTTTTAACACGAGAATAAGGATAGGGGACTCTCCAATATATCCCACGGGGTATGAACTTACTTGAACCGGAAACCCACATAACCCTCATTTCCGTGGGATTCCCTGTCAGCGCCAAATGTCCTTGAAGGGGAATCTCTGCCCCTCCTTTAAAAGTTAAAACTTCACTTTTAACCACAACGAGAGTATAATTGTCGTTTCTGTAATATCCAAACTGGCATTCCTTTCTTAGATTCCAAAGTCGAACTGCAAATTCGCCATAACCTTTCGTGTAAGAGGAGATACTACTGACGTAAATAAAATCCAGATAGTGATCTGGCTCGGCGTCTGGAGGGCAATACAGAATCACAACATCCTTGGCACTTGGTGATGACACCCCAGACCACATAACTGTGACTTCTGCGCCATTGTCTATGTTGGAAGAAGGAGACACCTTCAACACAGCGCCCGGGTCCAGACACGTTGGTTTGGGAGGAAAGTTTAGTTTAAGCCTGTTTTCTGGATTTCTAGCGTCCACAATAGTTCCGTTAGGATGCACTCGACCGAAATACGTCGGAATGGGATGATCGTGTTTGCAGTCTATGCTAGCAAACCACAATAACTGCAGGCAAAAAACAACTTTGGCCAGCTCGATCGGCGCCATGTTTGCCTCAGGGTGACGTTGGTGACATTTGTGACATGTGACTTTCTCGTGTTCGACGATTCCGACGATAGGTCACGACAGTTGTCACGCGATCGGGCGAGCCCGCGGCGAAGCCCTCCATCCAGCATTGCCGGTGCTAGGCGAGCGAGTTCACTTGATTATACTAACTTTCAAAGTTTTTTGGTGTGATGTTTACTGACTTACAGTGTAAATGGGGTCTTAGTTTTCGAATAATAAAACAAGGCCGAAGTTCAGTAGCAATTTCAGAATTGCTGGTTTTCAGTGTCACGCCATTCAAAATAGATCAAAATCAAAATCAAAATCCTTCCATAGATAAAGTAAGGAATCTGGGAAATAAAAGGAGGTAAATACACAAAGACCCTCGCCAAGATTCAGGCCAGAAGAATATTTCGTATACCAGATATCCGAAGAAATGTTTTACCCAAATTTATAGATAATGCTGGTGCCCACCTGGATGAGCACCAACACGGCGGACGGAAACCAACAAAAACATCTGGTACAAAAGCATGAATTTATTGCTCGAGGAACTCATGAACATTAAAGTAATACTTTTTCTAATACATGAACTGTTTAGATAGGAAAATTCCCCGGAATACGTCACTTTTTAACCTACATCTGTACATGACAGCTCTCTAGGCCGTCATGTAAATGCGACGTCCGCAGTAGCTGAAAAATTCAAGCGTACTCTAGCACAAAACCAAGAACCCTTTTGAAGCGAAAATTTGTATAAAAATTAGTTTTCAGCTGCTCTAATGCACCATGAAAGTAAAATCTTTGTAGGATCGATAGTTTTGTAGTTTGAATTTTAGTCAGGGGCACCCAACGAGGATGTAGTTCAAAACCACTTAACATAGCATTGTTGAACGTATTTTAGTATTTAAACGGTAGATATAGGCATATTTTTATCCCCTAAAAACTTTTCATCTGTTCGGATTTCCTAGCTGAAAGTCTAGTGATCCGAAAATTATAGGGATAAAAACTTACCTTCTCGAAAATTTCAGCCAGGAAAAGGCTCCCGAAAATTCTAGGTGGCCTTTTTTAGGGTCAAAATCCGCTAAAAATGGGTAATTATACCATTTTGTAGATGTTCGAAAATCCTAGGAGAGGCAGGCAAGCAAGAAATTTTACAACAAATGCTCCGAAAATTCTAGATCTCAAATCGTCTTCCGAACAGATATTTTCCCGAAAATTGCCGTTGGGTGCCCCTGTTTAGTGACGTCATGCGAAAACCAACATGCCACATCATTTACATTTGTCGGAAAGCTTTAAAGAACAAGACGCCTAAAGTCGTTTCCGTGGGATGCTTTGGTCTATGGCAGCATAATTGCGTTCTATCTGAATTTGGAAAAATTAGGAAACCGGAAAGATGTGTCATGCTATGAGCATCGATGAGTAGGTTACCTGTATGGGTTGGTTTAATGTGCTTATGACTGAATTTATAGTAGCCTGAGTGGCAGGCTACTATTTCTCCCCAATCCACATCCCCTTTTTGCTTCCTCCCTATCCCCTACCCCTTTCGACAGTGGTCGCAAGGATGGAGTTGGTGCTGTTTTGATCTATCGCTATGTAGGTATTTTCGTAGCACGATTTGGATAAGAAAAAGAAGTTATTTTGCATCAAAACAAGATTTACCCGTGTAACTTAAATTGGAATGTTAACGGAAACAAGCCGAATGGAGAACATGCGCATATATATAATGCTCTCTGCCTTAACCTGAACAGGAACTAAATGTATAAAGATACGTCATATCTTGGTAGTAAGTTGCCACAGGTAACTTTTTCAAAGAGAAATAAACATTGTAGTTTTAGGTTAATGGAACAAAACAAAACAAAACATCCGCTTGCTTTATCCAGGGTCGAACCCAGGGTTACAAAGTTCGATAAAGTTCCAATGTTTTAATCCAAGATGAAAGTTTAATATTCCAAGATGCTCTTGATACGGTTAAAAATTAATTGTAATGTGTTTTATAGGTCTCAAAGTTAACATAGTTCCAATGATTATCCCTGATTCCAAGGTATAATAAGTTTACTAAGGTCCTGATCCGTGTCCCATCCAGAAATCCAATCCATGTCGAAAGCGAGTCGTCGATCGACGAGGACGATGTTTTCGCGATTTCACCGCCAATCATCAAGGGTACGAGTTGAAATTTATGCGATTTAACCTCCCACCGTCAAGGTGTTTTCGATAAGAAAAGAAAAAAAGTGAACTCTAGCTTTGCTCGGCAAAAACTGGCGAACTCCGAATAGAAAAATCTATCGGAAATCACGGCCCGCAACCAGACGCTACTAAAACCTTATGAAAAAGCTAGACCTACACAGAAAAGAATCATGAAGGGAAGAAATAATTTGGCTTAGGTCGCCTTTCGTGACTTGCCAGTATCCCGAAGGATTTCGCAGGTTGACAAGCCATCCTAAACCACGAGTGGTAAAACTCAAGGGCGACAAATTTGGCAAGGAACGTTCTGATTTCAACGTTCTTCAGAGGAAGCAAATCGATTAAAAGTCGATACAGATTTTGTACAATATGATTGGTCGGCTTGGAAGAAGAGATAATCGATAAAGACTTTACGCAATCCTATTGGCTGGCTTTGCAATTTTGGGTACAACCGAACCGGATTTTTACCGTGGGAGTGCCACAGGCATCCCACGGAACGAGAGTATAACATAATAGGCACTTTTGTTATCGCAATGATATGCAAAGAAGTGGCCGATTATTTTGAAATTTAGCCAAAGTTCATGTCTACTCGGCCTCGAAGAAAACTGCTGAATCGGCAGCAAAAAGCCGGATTTACTTCGAATGCGCTCTAACACGGAGAAGAGCTTCCATTTTCGCGGGAAAAAGAGCTCTAAGCCTAGTATGAGAGTTGTTTGCTTCGGGTTATGTGCTCCGGATAATAGCCTGCACTGCAAGCATTTTTCGGGTCAATTATGAAATACTCAAGAACTATAGTTGTAGACGAGTCAAGGCAGGTAATGCGAGAGACTTTCAACATTCCGGTTCTTTCAAACGTAGCAGTCTACACGCGCGGCCTTATGCCCTGACCCCCGTTGGGCGCCAGCGCCACGACCCTTTCAAAACAACTTGTTAAGCCAACGAAACAATTGGTGAATGACCGAACCAAGCAATCTCCCTTGCCTGGCCCTAAAAACCATAACTATAAACAGTTGCAAAAATCTTGAGAGACTCCGACGAATAAAAGACCTTTCTTGCTTCAAATCGCTGCTAGTCACAGGTCCGTGAGATATAATACGAAGAAAATTGACAGGCCATTTAGCCAAAATACGGTACAGTGTCTCAAGTACTTTTGCAACTGATTGTAGTGTGTTTGGCAGAGGCCACTAAGAAAACAGAGTTGTCTTTCGAAGGCGTCGGTGGTGGCCGCAGACCCCTTTCCAGACTCCCCAATCTCCCCGCTGCTTTCTACAATATGGGAACTGGGCTTACCACAAGCCTGCAGTACGGGCGAACTATTCAACGAAATTACCAAGCAAGGCTTCATGTTGCTTAGAAGCAGGAAGACAGGGCCCAGCGCGAAGCGTGAGAGACAAAAGCGGAGCGCGAGATTAGGGAAGAAGAGAGTTACAGTTTCCTCTTAGTTTCCCTCGTCCTGCGCTCCGCGCGTGTCTTTCGCCACGCGCTTGACTGAGTCTCCTTTTCACTAGGCTAAAGAACGCCTGTTTTGCAGGCAATTTTGTTAATATCCCAGTTGTCCCAGGGGTTAAGATACACTTTATTTGCTTCGTTTTTGGTCGGGTCATCGATCAACAGTCGATGGACGACTTCTCCCGACTTTTTCCGCACAAAGGGTTCTATTTGTCGCGGGTCGATCTGTGGTCATGATAAACAAACTATTTCCATGTTTGGAGAATTTTGTAAAGTCTGCGTGGATGAATCAGAATCAGAATCATAACCTAATTAGTACAATTAATAACACTTGAGTTCTGGCGCTCAAAGAAATTGCTGTATATTGGGAACTCCATTTAATTCGACGCCCTGAAATTAAAGAAATGACTCAAATTGAGCGAAACGCTGCCTTCTCAAGACACAAAACAAGTCAAATGTTTACTTTTTAAAACTAGCAAGTCAGAAGCAAGGTTAAATTTTGTTTAATTCCTTCAGCTGCGGTGAAGTGGGTTTACATGGATTTAAAGCTTACTCTAGTCAGTAACTTCGTAATCTATGTCATAGTTATTTTCCTAAAATAACTGTACACATGCAGTTACAATTCAGCAACATTTCTAAAACGGAGCTATCGAAATTCACCAGGACATTCCGCTGGTCTTTATATAACGTATTCAGTAGATAGCGGATCAGAGGTGACTGGTTGCAGGTCTCATCACTAGAGAAGAGGTTATGTCCTTCAAAGACGCACAACCTGAAAAATAAAAAAAAGTAAAAACAAATATAATTATATCCACCTTAGTTATATAAACGGACGCAAAAATGCTGACAGAAGGGATCACACATAAAGAACCCGTGTCACGAATTTTAGCAAAATTTTTTATCAAACTGACAGTCGCAGCTACCACCAAACTGAGTGAAACATAAAAATCACTGCTCAAAACATTAAAAGGAGGTATAAATAACACAAAAAGTACGAAAGAAGGCACTGGTGGACAAACTTAAGTGTCACCTCTAAGCCTGCCGTGGTAGCTGGAGGTTATGAGACGTTGAAGCGAGCTGGACAGGTGGAAACTTCATTCTCGGCGAGTTCACGAGAGAAGAGGGATGGAGGATGAAGGTTTCTCCACCACGCTACAAAGAAAACTCCAGCTATCTTGGCTATTTCGAAAGAGAAATGAAGTACAGAATGAAAAAATTCTAAAGGTTCATTATTTCTCATCTAACCTGCAAGAACCATTGCTGTTTTAAATTCATCTCTAAGCATCTGAAGAACTGCTTTTACACCCTGTTCACCCTAGAGAAAGAGAAAGATCGAATTTGTCTTGATCTCTGGGCGAGGTGAAGCTACGATGTCTGGGGAGTGCTGTCAGTAACGAGCGACATTTGATAACGTTCTGCAAAGAAGAACACTTGTGAAAAAAGCTTTACGCCTCTGTAAAAACGTCTCAGTTTTCCCCTTACAAAGGTTGTCGAAACGTTAGTCACAGTCAACAAGAATCCTATTAAGCACTACGCTCAACCAGGGTATCATGCTTTACTTATGAAATGACTCCTGGGTTCAAACCTTGCACAGTTTTATAGTGTACACTGTACCTTGTAAGCAAGTCCCCAAATAACTGGACGGCCAACAAACACTGCACGAGCCCCCAAAGCAAGAGCCTTAAGAACATCAGTGCCCAGTCTTACGCCACTATCCATGTACACCTCAACCCCAGTTCCCTGGACGGCGTTCACTATTTCTGGTAGGACTTCAATCTGGCAGGAAGCAAAAATGATGTTAATTACAGTCAACTCCGTTTATAGCGGACACTTTAGGGACCTCGAGGTAGTGCCCTCATCAGCGAGAGTCTGTAACAGTGGAAGTTTACTTTAGTCAATTCTCAGTTATTTATTTTTGCTTCGGATTTAACTACTGTCCGTATTATCGAAGTGTCCGTTATAGCGGTGTGTCCGCAAGGCTAGAGTTGACTGTACTATAATTATTCAAAAATCATTCGACATTGGACAAGTGTCATACATACAGCGGCCGGGACACCATCCAACTGCCGGCCTCCATGATTTGAAACCAGAATTCCTTTAGCCCCATGCTGTACTGCAAGTCGAGCATCCTCCGGTGTCAGTATGCCCTTGACAACAACAGGGAGTGACGTAATCGAACGGAGCCAATCGAGAATTTTCCAGTCAACACTGCAATCCAACAAAGCTATGATATGTGCACCTAGCTCCGCATTGCTTTTGAACCGTTTCCTCTGCTGAACTGACGAGAAATTAGCATATTTCAAATGTCCTGGTAACTCAAATCTTCTTCTTCCTTGATGTCTGCCATACAATGGACAGTCGACTGTCAATAAAATTGCCTTGTATCCTGCTTTTTCGGCTCGTCTTGTGATTGTCGCCATTAACTGGCGATCAGTGTACAACTGCATCTGAAAAAACTTGATTGTGTTTGGAGCTTCGAGAGCTACGTCTTCTAAGCTGGTCGTGGAGTATAAACTTAAACCCATTGCTGTGCCCAAGGAACGTACGGCTGAAACCAAACAAAGAAAGTCAAGGAAAACACACACACAAACACAACCTGTTTTTGAAGTACAGTGAACTCTCTCCGGACACCTTTGGGACTGGCAATAAACGTCCATCTTATAGAGAGTCAACCAAATAGAGTGAAGAAAGGAAGGAACCAACTGTAGATGTCCCGGTCTTATAGACGTATTAGCAAATCTTTAATAGGAAACTATTTAAATTTGCCAGACACAAATCACTTTGGGGCCGTAACTGTAAGACTCAGTCCACAAACAAACAAGTTTTCCTAAGCGAACGAGTAAATCAAGCTAGCTTATCAGCAGAAGGATGGAACATTACTATGCGCCACGAGCAGAGGCTACATTTTCGTAGTGTGTGTGTGTGTGTGTGTGTGTGTGTGTGTGTGTGAAATGCCTAGCAGTACTTTGCGCACGCCAGCTCACAACGCGAAGATGTAGACTGCTCGCAGGGTAGACGATTACAGAAATTCCCAGACAATTAAATTCTGTCAAATTCTGTGCTGATCTATTTCCTTTTCCCAGAAAGCGCTTTTTTTTTTAAAGCAAAGTATTGTCTCAAAAGTCATTTGACTGTAGAACGCGAGTGTGAAAAATTCTTGCAACTCAGACTGGGTGTTTTGATCAAAGCTGCGTAAATCGACCTAACTCAGTGCACGGAATCTTGCGTTTCTTGCTTTTATCTCACCTCTTGTATGTTATATGTGCAAAAATCTTCAGTACTACTTTGAATCAGTACATTTCAAAGAGCTACACAAAGACCAAAGCTACAATTGACCGACAACATACGGAGCGGGGGCAGCTGTAGTGTCAACTATTACTAGTGTTAACACTGAATTAAGTAGCCTGAGAAAACAGCCGACATTTGGCGGCGCCACCACTTGTTTCCCCGCCAAATCATGACATGTGAGAAATGAGCGCAGAAATTCCATACTGATGACGCATCCCCTCCCAGATCTGGGTTGCCCTTCTGATTGGTTGAAGCAAGTTTCCTACCGCGGCACGACCAATCAGAGGCCTACCCAGATCTGGGTAGTGACGCGTCATCAGTATGGAATTCTGCGCCCATTTCTCAGACGTCATTTCACGGGGAAACCAGAGGTGGTGTCACCAAATGTCAGCTATTTTCTCAAGCTTTAAATTAGGTTACCTCTAACAGTCGCAAGTTCACCGTCAGGGTGTGCCATTGCTTGATATGCACTCGGTGAAACACAGATAGGCATGCTTAATTTATGGCCTAGGACTGTAACGGAAATGTCTTGATGGGATACATCGCGTAGCATTCGCGGGCGCAGTTTAATCCTACAAATAAAAACAGATATCATATTTATTTTTTTTGTATTCTACATGAGAAGGCTAAAAACCCGCTACGTGGAATTATGATGTAGCCTGAATTTCACCCGACTACTTCGAGTCGTTTTTACTCCCTCAGTAACGTCTGGATGGACTGGCCGTTAATGCCGTCCAGTGACGTCACTCACTACCCGAAAACCGGGTAGTGATTTTGATTGGCTGATTGCCTAAACGTTCGCATAATTATGAAAAATTTTAGCGGGATTGTCGCTTGATATTCAGCGGATCGCATCCCTGGCATACTTTCGTGTAGTTAAAACATTTCGATAAGCTTAATCTTTATCTTAAACAGCAAAATTTGCCCTTGTCTTCGAAACTGAAATGCTAAATTGAACTGCGAATGAAGAATCATTGCGGAGAGTCGGTAGGTTTTTCATTTAAAGCGCCGCTTTGTGGTTTCGGCGGCCTGTGATTTTGTTTATGCGAAATTTTCTGAGATCAATGTTATAATTCGACCTTCTTGCTATTTTCACCGTCAAGTGTAATGATTCTGTTAGCTTTTCTTTCTTGTTTCCTTGTTTTTTTTTCTTCGTTAAGGACCAAATAGCTTCTTTTCAATTAAAGCAAATCATTGTGTTGTTAAACTAAGTGTTCCCTGTGTGTGTTTATTTCATTGCGTGATTGCGACCGTGTTTGACTATAGAACTACAACTTGCTCAGAGTTGTACTGCAAGCAGTTGATGGTTTGAACGTTAAACATGAATTACGAACGAAAGGGAGTAATAACGACTCGAAGTAATCCGATGAAATTCAGGCTATTGCAGTCTGTAATTGTAGTATTTTGTTGCTGCCTCTGTACACATTTGTGGTTGCTGTAAGTTGCTGTAGCCTCGGTCTCTTGTTGACAGCGTTGACTTCGCTGTGCCATTGCTCACGCTGAATTTCAAGTTGATGTTCGTTCTCGCACTTGCAGGGTTTCGTGGGTAATTCTCCCCCTGGAAAGAACCCATCAGCTTTTCATGAATAAAACTTGCCTAGTCCCTAGGCCTCATTTTTGCTCGCGGCCAAAGCGTTTCAGGTCACGTGACCGATGCCCGCCCGTTCGTCTCGGATACGTCACTGAAACGAATTGACCGAGAGGGACTGGGAAAACGCCGTACAGGGACTAGGCAAGAATAAAACGTGACAGTCCGTTGCCTGCACTTGTCACTCACCATTTTGTCATCGATGGCAATCGGTTGCCTGGAAACCCATAATGCACTTTGACGTCACTACCCTTGATGACGTCAAAGCGAACATCAACCAAACTTGATAGATTTATAGCAAAGAGAAAATCACACTGGCCTTGCGATGCTCGTGGGAAACACGCACGCTTCTCGAGCGACAAGATTATAAAACCTCATAGCCTGTTCCAGGCTCCGAGATAGTCGGGTCTCTTCCTTTTTCTTTTTTCCGCCCCGCCAACGTTTCGCGTGCCTTTTTCTTTCGTGTCTTCCCCTCTATCTAAGAGCCTAGAACGGGCTAAAAACCTTGCGGCAAGGTGCCTCGCCTCGCTCGGGGTGTCTAGAAAACGACGACCTAGAAAACGAAGACCTACGACCTAGAAAACGACGACCTAGAAAACGATGACCTGGAAAACGACGACCTAGAAAACAACGACCTAAAAAAAAAACCGCGGGGGGGGGCTTAATAAAAGTGTGCGAAATGCCCCATCCCCGGACAAAACCAAAATAGCATATTCATAGCAAATCTCAGTGTAATCTTATCAAACATGCCAAACACCCACGCAAATCGCTCATAGCCGCTAGTTACCCGGGGCTGGTTATAAGTAATGCTAAGGTCAATAGGTCTAATATGCACGTGCAGCACACTTTTTTGCACATCGTAGTACGTGCAGACGATTCTCTCAGAACCAAAATTTCTTGGATGCATTTTGGGCGCTTTCCATTCACCCAAAACTTAAGAAACTTTGGAATCAGCGGCAATATGTACAGTATTTTCTCGGAAAAGTTCCCAGACTTCCGCAAACGTTTCCGAAATGCGAACCTTTCAACCAGAAATTTAGTCATTCGGGAGCAAATTTGAATGCGGAAAGAAAACTTCCCGATGATAATTTTCGAAAATTTAGATATATATTGCGAAAATGCTGTTCCATTCGGTACTGCATGGAAGTTGCCGAAAATTTAAACCAGACGTTTTGATTGAATGGAATGGCGCCCATGCAAAGGTAACCAAATTTGTTGCCAGTTGTGCCCCCTTTGCGCGCGCGCGTGAGAGCTCCACTAAAATAGTTTCTCTAGTCAAATTTTCCTTTAGTATGGTCAATGAAGTCATGATTCAACCTGGGTGACTACTGGAAGCAAAAGCTTTGCTTTGACCTATTTATTATCCTGATATCAATTTAAACAAATTTCCATCAAATCTAAATGACCTAAATAATATACACTGCTTCACTGGTGCGTCGTTTATAGCGGGAAGTTCAAGCCCACATAAATCAAACAGGAAATAAATCAGGCGTGCCGTTTTTGTGTTCACAGCTCAACAACGTAAACAAACAGTTTATATTTTGAAAATAAAGAAAGAAGGGCTTCAACATTTTCTCGTACTTTTCCATACATGAAACAGCAGCATACCGGTAACGAGAATTGTGAAGCATTATGTGAGACACAATGAAGGTTGACATGTCATCAGATTTGAACTGTATTTGAACTGTAAGATTTGAATCCTATCATCCTAGGAGTTTCTGTTTCCTCACAGGTCCGATAGCGTGGTATATATGCAGTGAGATCTCCGGTAGAACTTTTGAATTGTTCAGAAATAAATTATTACATCATGAGAAATAGAGACAACGCCGCAGAGCAAAATTAAAAATTTCACTTCGGTTCATCTTTAATTCTTCCATCACTTTCACGCAATGCACAATGCAATGTCCAAGACAAAACAATAGCTCCTGCGACGACAGTAAGCACTCTGTAACTGCTGTTTAAAAATGCGAGAGACGGTTTTATAAACCGCGTTATGAAAATAACGCAAGAACAGTAGATGAAGGTATCTCGCGGGGTACATGTAACTAAGGTTTACGTTAATCAATAAATCAATCGAGCATCTCCGCCTAAACGTGAAAATTTCCCAAATTTTGACTTTTAGAAATACTTCGTTCCCCAAATCTCTTTTTATTAGCACACTCCGGGATCGGTAATGAAACTAACCCGATATACTTTTAATCAGTAAACACCAAGAGAGGTTATCCTCTCTTGGTAAACACTTTATTGTCCACCACCCCAGCCAGTTCTAGAGGGGGAGGGTGTTTCCTTAGGAACTGGTTAGCTTAGCTCCAATGACCACCAAGCTTTAATAATTTTTCGATCTAAAAGAACAACATTTATAATTCGCAATCAGAACAAACACAAATCGTCTTAATCTCGTAGCTAAATTCAGAAAACTTCAAAGTCAACTTACTTCTATGGAGGGTCGTTACAACAATCGCACTTTACAGGTTAGTAAATTCTTTTAACAGATTCTTCAGGTAAGCGAATTTATAGACAGACTGTAAATTATTTTCTTTCTCACTTCGATTCTACTGAAAAACTAATACAATTCTTGTCATCAAATAAATCTATACAATAACAAACAGGCAACGCTTGTTTGATAAACGAAACAGAGGGGAGACCTCGCGTACCTTGCGTTTCCAATTCCACCGGCACCGTTTTATTCCTTGGCTTCATACCCTTAGCCTGTACAAATAATATTTACTATTTTTTTGTAATTTTCCTTCTTCGCCCACCTCTCACCCCTTCATAATTCCCTCCTATCGTCCTCTTATTTCCCGCCTTCTGTACCCCTCTAACCCCTTGATCCTTCGAGCTACCCCATCCTCGTCGTCGTTTTCGAGGTCGTCGTTTTCGAGGTCGTCGTTTTCGAGGTCGTTGTTTTCTAGGTCATCGTTTTCTAGGTCGTTGCTTTCTAGGTTGTCGCTTTCTAGGTCGTCGTTTTCTAGGTCATCGTTTTCTAGGTCGTCGTTTTCTAGGTCGTTGTTTTCTAGGTCGTCGTTTTCTAGGTCGTTGTTTTCTAGGTCGTCGTTTTCTAGGTCGTTTTTTTCTAGGTCGTAGGTCTTCGTTTTCTAGGTCGTCGTTTTCTAGACACCCCCTCGCTCGGAATAATATAGACAAGCGCACCCTTAACGTGTCTTAGCGTCAGTTTGTTCTAACCAGTTAAATACTCTACGTTTTTGCTCAACGTTTCGGATACCTGTTAAATGCCAGGCGATTTTCACGCAGTGTTACATCATTCTCTGCTCCTGTTGAATAATAATCAAAGGCGTTCTTGTCCAAATGGTTGGAAGCGTATTTCTCCAATTCATCAATTGTCACAGGGTCCGTGATACTTGTCATTGTTTACTAGCTCCGCTAATACGGACAGCAATGTCAGAATACCCCGCCACTTGTCGCTGAACTCCTTGAAGAACGAACTATAAACGGCATAAACAAATGCATAAACACAATAATATTCCACCAGATGCAAATTAGACTGTTCAAAGTCCCCTATTGTTCCGTGTGATCATCGAGATCGAGCGCGTCTTACCGTTAATGGCGGCCATCTTGATTTTCAGTCGTACCGAGTCTAACCTGGGGAAGAGTATCAAATCTACTTAGGGGGCAGGGGACGGTTTGGAGCTATAATCCCCGACGCCCGCCCCCTCGGTACATCTAAAAATCAAGATGGCCGCCATTAACGGTAAGACGCGCTCGATCTCGACGATCACACGGAAAAATAGGGGACTGTGAACAGTCTAGATGCAAATTACTGGCCAGGTATAAGCCGCTGACCACCTATCCATACCTCAGGGGAACCTCAGGGGCGGATCCCGATGCCCCGCAGCGTAACCGCACCACTAAGGAACTACTGATTTTAACTGTACTGCCATTTTTACGGTGTTTAACATAAATTCTTCAACCTCGAAGATGTTTTACGTTTTGTATTCATATTACCATGACAAACTACCAGCATTCTCAGATAACCTTTTCAAAACTATTATAAAATAGCCAAGGTTAAAATTGGATTCTGATTGGTCGACACCAGTTCATTTTATCTCAATAAAGCTCGCAGCACTCGTCAAGCGTGCATTATAGTACAACATATGCACGCGAGCTACGTTACACTCTCTGCCAAACACAGAAATTTATGTTTTGCCTGTGCGCCATTAAGGTCGAAGATCTTCCGTGCTTTGACCTTGGCTTTCAGTTCCTAATGTTGGAAAAGACGAAAAGAGTGATTGACAGTTGGATAAAATTTCAACTAAAAATAACAAGCGAGGTTTGTACGTGCCTGAGTGAACAAGTTGTCAGACGCATGCAGAGGCGAAAAACCACAAAAAGTTCAACAACCTAAGCTGTAAAAGTTTTTAAAGGTATGAAAGAACGTAGAAAAACAAATTACTTCATTACGAACGAGAGAAATCACTGCGAACTGAAATAGAGGGCGTTCGTTTAGGTTAGAAAAAAATATAGAGCAAATGGAAAAAACCCAGTTTTTTTAAAGCACAAATAAACGCCGTCTACTATACGATTTGCGACAAATTAATGTACTGCACACCCTAGTGCAGAATGTTACTAAACAGAGTAACGCAGTAACGAGTAACGAGTAACGGAGTAACGAGAAAACGAGTAACGGGATAAAAATTCAAGAGGTTAAAAAAATTTAAAAAATAACTCCTAATGAAAGAGAAAACACAAAAATGGTTGTAATATCCTAATAATGACCTTTACCAATCTCGAAAAATATGTGTATTCCAAAAAATCCGCTCCAAGGAAACTATTAATTACATCTCTTAAATGAAACACGAACTGGGGTCTACTCAGATCCTTTAATAGTGCATTGACAGACTGGAATTCCCTTCCAGAAGACATGAGATGTCTACCTTATCATGCTTTTAAAATTTCATTATTTAAAAATTTTAAATCTCAATAAGTTCGTTTAGTGTGACATTTTTTAGTTCATCTATTTTAATATTTTGTTATTCTTAGTACTGTAGTTTTTGGTTTTTATGCAATGCCCTATTGAAAACCACATTATGTGACACAGGCCGTCCGTGAAAAGAACTTTCTTCTTCTTCTTCTTCTTCTTCTTCTTCTTCTTATTATTATTATTATTATTATAAGAAATGAAATAATTTTGGCAATAAGAAAGAAAATCTGTAGCTTACCTTCCTCTGACGATTGCTCCTCGATAGTCAGGTGACTTTTCGGCGTTAAAATACCTTCGACTTTGCTGGAGGGAGGGGTGGGAGAGGTTGACGTCGTTGTTTTAAGCACTTTTTAGAATACACATATTTTTCGAGATTAGTAAAGGTCATTATTAGGATATTGCAACCATTTTTATGTTTGTTCTTTCATTAGGAGTTATTTTTAATTTTTTTAACCTCTTGAATTTTTATCCCGTTACTCGTTTTCTCGTTACTCCGTTACTCGTTACTCGTTACTGCGTTACTCTGATCTGTTTAAATATTGTAAATTGACGCTTTATTAAGCAGTTTCGCTTACATTTATGTGGAATAGTAGTCTTAAAGAAATTAAAACATTTCGTAAATGATTTAAAAACTACACTTTTTGTCATAGAATGGAGTGCTCAAAAAAGGCCACGCTTACCTGAGCTACAAGAAATGGACGACAAACAATGATGAAAGTCTGTCAAAGTTTTACACCGAAGCTCCAAGTAAAAAAGGCGAAGAATTCAGCAAGTCGTCGCTTATTTTGGGTTTTTTGAACTTACTTGCAAAACTGTTTGGTAAAGAGTTTCAAGGACATTTTGCCGATTTGTAATGATTTTTTATAAAGGTAGTTCGCAAAACGGACGGCGTTTTCATTTTAATTCAAGATTTGAACCAATAAGACAGGGACCGCGCAGAGGGAGGGGCTGGGGGGGCTTTAGCCCCCCCACTTTTTTGCAAGAATAAAAATAAATTAAACAAAAAATAATTTAACAAAAGTAACGGAGTGAAAAATAGCAAAAAATCGTTAATTCGAAAATGACCAGAGTTACTGGCAAAGACAAACGCGCAGATAAATAGACAGAATGAAGCATTAGTCGTTACAATTGTAAAATATTTTTTCGCTTCTAACCTAGCAGAGGTAAACGTCTTTTAAATGGCTTCTTTTTCCAGCGGACCTCTCAGGAAAACGCGTTGTTTCGTAATTGGTCAATTTCGATCCAAAGTAATAACTGGGTTTAGTTTATAAGGCGATTCTCAAACAAATTGTTTATTAGTTTCAACCTTGATTTTTGGAAGATCATGAAGTTATTGTTTCTCTTGTTATTGTGCGTCCTGATTTTAGCTCGATCAGCGCGAAGTCCGTCTTTTGATGTCAGGCTTCACGGCTCGTTGAGCATTCCAATTGCAAGTTTTGTTGAGCGCGGTCTGTTTATAAAACAGGCCCGGCCAGGGGTTTTGGGTATACGGTATCCCGGGCCATTTTAATTCAGGTATATGGTATTTTGGGGTCAAAATTCGGGTATAAAGTATTCAGTTTTTCCTGAATTTTAGGTATTCGGTATATGGTACAGAAATCACTGAGTAATGTATAATTTATTTCTCAGTTATATTATCGCTCTAATGCTCACTAAAAATCGTGTGGATGCTTGAAATTGTTACTCTTTGGCTACCTATCCCAGTCCCCCTCCCCCACCACCTCCCGAATCGCAAAACGAACCTTATCCTTTCCACATTAAGTCAAACTGGGAATCAACAGTCCAGCCATCTGTAGCTCTGGAGACCTTCGTAGAGGAAGTAAAATTAGAGCTCGCAAGTATCCAATTTGACAAGCCAAAAGATCATATATCTATGAGAGAGCACCAAGCTCTCAAAGCCGGAGTTATCGCGCAACAAAAGTATTATTCTTAAGAAATCTGATAAAGGTAACACTACCGTATTGATGAGCAGACAAGACAAACTAAACGAAGGTCAGGTTCTACTTAATGATTTAAATAACTACCGACCTCTAGACAAACCAGTGGTTGAAACTACCACCAAAAAAGCTCGACAACTTATTAAAACACTGCTCTCAGAAGGCCACATTGATAAAACGACGGCTAAATGGTTCTCCCTTACGCCTGATCCTCCGCGATTCCCAGTGTTTTACACACTTACTAGAATCCACAAACCGACATCTGTCGGAAGACCTATTATCTCAGGGTGTTCCGGACCTAAAGAGCAGATCTCCTCATTTGTTGACTACCTTATTCAGCCAATAGCACAACTCCAAGCTTATTTACTTCATCGAGAGGATTAAACTGCCTAAAAGTGCCATACTTGTTTCAATAGACGTCACAAGCCTATACACAAACATACCACAACAAGAGGGTATTACCACTGTATGCTATGCATACGAAGAATTTCAAGGAAACACTCCAGTCCCTATCAGGTTTTTAAGCGAAATGCTTAGTCTGATAGTACTAGAAAACTCGATCCAATTTAACGAGATCTAGAAAGATTATCTTCAAACCCATGAAACGGCCATGGGCACGAAAATGGCCGTAGCCTTTCCTAACATCTTCATGGCGAAAACAGAAAAAGAAATACTCAGACAGAGCAGCATTAAGCCCATCTTCTGGAAAAGGTTTATCGATGACGTCATATCAGTATGGGACACAAGCAGAAACGAAATAGAAGAATTCCTTCTAAAGGCAAACAACTTCGAACTCCATCCTACAATCAAATTCACAACAGAAATATCAGAAACAGAAACTACATTTTTGGACACGAAAGTGTACAAAGGTGTTAGATTCAACAAGGATTCTATCCTTAACGTGCGAACACACTTCAAGCCTACCGAGAAATTCCAATAGACGAATTTCTATTCGTGTCACCCACCAGGCGTCACAAAAGGCTTCATCAAAAGAGATTAGCTTTAAGGCTTCTAAGAACAAATCCCTCTGAAATCACTTTTGAAGAGAACATGAGGAATTTTTTTCAACACGCCTCAAGAATAGAGATTACCCAGCTACAACTGTAGAAAAACATCTCTCAGAGGTCATTTTCGCAAACAGAAAGAAAGCACTAGAACAGAGAAACAAAAATGCACGTAAGAAAATACTACCCTTTAATACCCTGCAATACCACCTTGCGTTGCCCAACCTCAAGAACATACTCATGGGGAAATGTAACCTGAGATCAGGCGTTATTTTTTTCTTTTGCTTCTTTGCTTCTTTGGCTCGAGAGGGAAACACAGATTACAGAGGTAAAGGGAGAGGGGCATGATCGCAGGCTAGGGGAAATGGCACCTTATACAGAACCAACCATACCTGAGAAACATCTTTAAGGAGCCTCCCCTCATTTCATATCGAAAGGAAAATCCCTAAAAGACACTCTCGAAAGAGCTAAAATATAAAGGTGTTAAGAAAAGTCTATTTCCGAACTGCAGGAGTCGTGCAGGCCCGTCAACACTTTTAAACTCTGTTCATTTTCAGGTATTTAGTATTCTGTTTCAAAATAATTTTAGGTATTTAGTATCACACATTTGACGATTTTGAGGTATATTGGTATCTTGGGGGCAAAATAGCGGGTATATTGGTATCCCACTACCCCCCCTGGCCGGGCCTGAATATACCTCAAAATCGTCAAATGTGTGATACTAAATACCTAAAATTATTTTGAAACAGAATACTAAATACCTGAAAATGAACAGAGTTTAAAAGTGTTGACGGGCCTGCACGACTCCTGCAGTTCGGAAATAGACTTTTCTTAACACCTTTATATTTTAGCTCTTTCGAGAGTGTCTTTTTAGGATTTTCCTTTCGATATGAAATGAGGGAGGCTCCTTAAAGATGTTTCTCAGGTATGGTTGGTTCTGTATAAGGTGCCATTTCCCTAGCCTGCGATCATGCCCCCTCCCTTTACCTCTGTAATCTGTGTTTCCTCTCGAGCCAAAGAAGCAAAGAAGCAAAAGAAAAAATAACGCCTGATCTCAGGTTACATTTCCCCATGAGTATGTTCTTGAGGTTGGGCAACGCAAGGTGGTATTGCAGGGTATTAAAGGGTAGTATTTTCTTACGTGCATTTTTGTTTCTCTGTTCTAGTGCTTTCTTTCTGTTTGCGAAAATGACCTCTGAGAGATGTTTTTCACAGTTGTAGCTGGGTAATCTCTATTCTTGAGGCGTGTTGAAAAAAATCCTCATGTTCTCTTCAAAAGTGATTTCAGAGGATTTGTTCTTAGAAGCCTTAAAGCTAATCTCTTTGATGAAGCCTTTTTGTGACGCCTGGTGGGTGACACGAATAGAAATTCGTCTATTGGAATTTCTCGGTAGGCTTGAAGTGTGTTCGCACGTTAAGGATAGAATCCTTGTTGAATCTAACACCTTTGTACACTTTCGTGTCCAAAAATGTAGTTTCTGTTTCTGATATTTCTGTTGTGAATTTGATTGTAGGATGGAGTTCGAAGTTGTTTGCCTTTAGAAGGAATTCTTCTATTTCGTTTCTGCTTGTGTCCCATACTGATATGACGTCATCGATAAACCTTTTCCAGAAGATGGGCTTAATGCTGCTCTGTCTGAGTATTTCTTTTTCTGTTTTCGCCATGAAGATGTTAGGAAAGGCTACGGCCATTTTCGTGCCCATGGCCGTTTCATGGGTTTGAAGATAATCTTTCTAGATCTCGTTAAATTGGATCGAGTTTTCTAGTACTATCAGACTAAGCATTTCGCTTAAAAACCTGATAGGGACTGGAGTGTTTCCTTGCTGAAATTCTTCGTATGCATAGCATACAGTGGTAATACCCTCTCGTTGTGGTATGTTTGTGTATAGGCTTGTGACGTCTATTGAAACAAGTATGGCACTTTTAGGCAGTTTAATCCTCTCGATGAAG